GATTGTGGGGTCCCTTACCCCTTCAACTTTGCCATCTATAATCTCTAAAGGACAGAATTTTGGTTTAGGCCACAATGGCTGGCTATAGATCCAGGTCTTCTGGTACCCCAGGAAGAAAACAATGGTCTCCTCCAGAATTTGGGATTTCATTATCTCACTCCATGGGCATGTAGAAAAAACGAGCAGACCTTCAGAATTACCGTCCTCTCTCCTGGGTTCCCATCTCTGCCCCTACTGTGAAGCTCTAACTACCTCAGCCCAAATGTGGCCAAAAGCTGGTTAGTTAAATAAAAAAGAGAAACTCTTGTTTGCCCTCTTATATACCAGGAAGTACTATTTCCCCCCAGCAAACTGGTCAAAAAAGAAATAACTGTGAGAGATATCTAAGGAACTGAGAAAGCTGAGAATTGATCATTCTAGATAGAAAATGGGCTGAGTCACCGTTCAGAAAATGTTCCCTAGTTCAGAGGTTGGACTTGGACTCTCAGATGAAGAAGTGTGTGTCTGAAGGTGTGATGGCAGGGGTTGGGGAGGATCCTAGAGCAGCCCAGCTTCCAGAATATTCACATGACTTGTTATCAATCTGTGCTTCTCAGCACCATAGGCCTGTGCCCTTGGGTTGTTGGGACAACGGCCCCTGGCTGCAGAGCCCAGTAGTCGCACTTGTGTGGCATGTTGGCATTTTTGAGGGCTAGGATCAAACTACCTTAAGGGGGGCCTGGAAATTGTTTCTGGCCCAAGTCTAAGGTAAGGGAATTCAGAATAAAATGGCCTATGGTTCTTGCAAGGTACAGACTCCTTTAGTGGGGAGAGTGTTCATAGAGGAGGAGTATGCACATGAGGAAATGGGACAAGAAGGTGAAATTAAGTCTATGGAAACATTCTCGGCTGGCCAGGAGGTGGAAATTTCTCCATTTGCCTCTGTGGTAGGTCTGCCCCTGATCTATTTTCTTCTTAAAGGGCACATCTTTTTTTGATTGTGCTGTATTTTAAGAATGTGTCAATTACTAATAAACATAGCCTGTGCCAATAATTGCCTTTAAAGATTTTGGAAAAGGAAGATAGTGGGAGAATAAACTAAAAATAGCATAAATTTCTATTTAAAAATAAACTCCTGATATTAATTTTTCATTTTGTTCCCCACACGGTTTCATGTACATTGTGTCTACTTTAAGGCAGGAGATTCAGCACTTCAGATATTTCCAGATTAGACCTCTGGAAAAGAAACTCCTTTTACTCCTCTCGGTATGGGCTGCTTTTATAAACATGTAGAAGGAGAGAAGGGACTGCCCTTCCCTGCTCCTTTTAAAAAATCATTAACTTTTCCTGTGGGTGAGTTCCACATTTAGGTGCAGGCAAAACTCAAAAGCTCTTTGATGTAGCTCCCTTCCTTTCACCTCTTCAGGTTTCCCAGAGATCTATTTTAGGCAAATTGCACAGTAATTTTGCACTGATGAAGGAAAAATCCATTCTATCAAAATGTTTTTGCTCACCAAATCCACATAGTGTGTTGCCTATCAATCTTTTATAATCCTCCTTTCAGTGAATGTTAAATATTGCCACTGCAGGTTTTGAAGGTAATAACTGGGGCTCAGCTTTACAGACTACTTAACTCTGTGCAGTCAGTCAAGCTCAGGTGGAATTTGGTTTTGAGACATGAATGTTCTGTCTGTCATGCCATTAACCAATCAGCGATCGCACATCAGAAACTTGGCACTGGAGTCTGACTGCTTAGGGCTAAGAGTCGAAACTAAGCTGACATCTTGAACACAAACATGGAAAAAGCACAGTTTGAAAACATGATTTTTTTTTTTTTTTTTGCCTAATCTCATTGTCATCAGTGGAAATGATATTTTCGTGTTCTACACCCTTATCTAAACTCCTGACATCTTGAACACAAACATGGAAAAAGCACAGTTTGAAAACATGATTTTTTTTTTTTTTTGCCTAATCTCATTGTCATCAGTGGAAATGATATTTTCGTGTTCTACACCCTTATCTAAACTCTTCACTTCATGAAACTATGGCTCCGGCAATGCGGACAGGCAGAGAGAGTGTTAGTCTTCACTCTTCTGATGGCCCTGACTCCCACGAGGTCACAAAATGCCTCTGACAGAGAGGAGAGACATCAGACTCAGCAGACCACGGATGCTGGAATTAGATTTTAAGCCTGTTCCTTAAAACACACATTACTTAAACCAGAGAAGGCTAGTATTCTGCAAAGAAAACTTTTGCCTTTGTATATCAGTTTCAGAATGATCTGCATATGGGAAATCCAATTTCAAAACAAAGTTAGGCACAAGTGGGAGGGTGCGGATTCTTCCCAAATTTGGATGTGAGGTGCAGGATGGAGAATGAATGCCTGAGAGAAGTGAAAGTCAGGTAGCAGGGAGAGGAAGCCCAAGCATATTTTACATCCCTGATCCCCTGCTGTGCCATGAAACTTGAATGAAACCCCAATGTTTTGGTCACAAGCACCCCCCAGTTTATATAACTCCAACCTGGGAGGAACTTAGACTTCTGAATGTATAATTAGTGGTTTAGGATGTATTTTTTTAGTTTAAAAAATGTGAGTGCAGGAGTGACTACTTCATTGTTAACTCTAAGCCCCAACGTATCAAGAATTAAATGCAAAATTCAGAATCCCCTTTAATAACTCTGTGGTTCAGAAGGGGTACCAACAACTAAACCATAACAAGAACGACCTGAACGTGCCCAGTCTATGAAAAGCAAATGTTAAGTTTTAAGCAGCAGCTGCATATTAGGATCATGCTTAAGTTGCTTTTTCATTCATCTTTCTAGCACAGAACATATGTTCTGCATTCCAACGCCAAGTGCTTTGCCGCATGAGTCAGTTAACTATTCCATTCACTGGGGCATCAATTGCATTTCAATTAGTGGTAAGTACTGGAAGCATGCAGTTTAGGCTAGTAATTAATGTAATCCTATGAATACAAGACAACTTACTCTGCGTCATCAGACACAGGAGTTCTCAGACCGTATCTATAAGACCAAATACAAAATTAGAGGACTGGCAAGATAGAAAGTTAACACTGTAACCAAGCTGGAAATAAAGACTGCTGGTGAAATACGTGTGCCAAACCTTTTCTGCTGATCATACTGGAAGAGAAGTGTCATTATACAATTAGCAATATTCATTAGCTGCTAGAAGATTTTTTAAATGTCTTATTATTTCTAAAGAATACAAAATTTGTATTAAAACCTAGAGGAGAAATGAAAATAATCCCCATGCTACCCACAAAGAAAGAATCTGTTCAATATGAACACAAAAGGCCTAGGTGCAACCCACAATGTTTAGAGAAGGCAGCTTAAAAAACACACATATATTCTGTATGGTCATTCACAGTTAAATTGTTTGTGCCTTTATGTTTAGCAGTAATGGTCGTAATGGATGCCCAATATACAAGCACACACTCGCTGACCCTGACTCTGACATGTTAATGCATTTGCACAGTTACATCAGAGTGTTTCAGCAGTTTTCTGAAAGCAAACCAGAACTCCAACCAGAACCCCAACTGGTGTCTTCTGCATGCAGAAAACTGGTAGCTTTAATCAAAACCAGACTTGGATAATATTCCATAACTTAAAAAACCAAAGTTTTTTCCAATCTTTTATATTTCTTCGATTATTTAGCTCTATAAAGTTGTACAGTCTGTGATAGAGTCACTTGAGGTCTAAATGTATCTGATAAAAGCAAAGAAAAAGATCAAATTAGAAAAAAAATGAGAACATTACAAGGGCATATTTTAAGTACATTTAAAACAAAAGCAGCTCCCACAAATGACTGTCTCTCCAGTAAAGGTAAATTTTAAGGAATAGTTATTATTTATATCTTGAAAGGCTGCTCATTCTGTATTTTGATGGTGGACAAAGAAATATCTAAGTAAAGAAAATATGTCCTTTTTCTAGTTTCCAATAAATTATATTTTGGAGTTGGCAGCAAAAATTACTTCATCCCGGGCCGGCCCGGTGGCGCACTGCTACAGTGCGCCGCTTGGGAGCGTGGCGGCGCTCCCGCCAAGGGTTCGGATCCCACATACAGACCGGCTCCCGCTCACTGGCTGAGCGAGGCGCGGGAGCAATGCCGAGGCTCGGACACGAAAAAAGACCCCCCACATACAGACCGGCTCCCGCTCACTGGCTGAGCGAGGTGTGGGAGCAATGCCGAGGCTCGGACACGAAAAAAGACACTTTTATCTTCTAGAACAGTCTACATTCATTGATAATTATTTAATTCATAGGGAAGGCAATCATACCAGTGAAAAACCCAAAATCTCTGATGAAATGGCCAAAAGCAAGACAAAGAAAGGGTCTATGAATGTTTTTTTTCTGGCAGTAAGACCCATTTTCTGTTTCTCTAAGAGATAGTTTCGGAAGGTGCTAAAAATTTAACCTAAATTCTCAATTTTCCAAAAACACCACTACATTGAAGCAGATAACAAGTGGATTCTTCCACATCAAGACAGCATGCATGAGCAATATTAATTCTGAAGACTGGATAAATGTTTCCCAGTTAATAAATAGACCTATTGGAATAGATTTATTCAAATAGATGTTTTCTAAATTATCAGTGGAAGAGAGCAGAGATTATTCCTAATGGATAGTTGATCAAGAAATAATCTATTAATGGCTATGTGTTTTTGTGCCTCTATTTAAATATTTTCATTAACATTTTATTGTAGTATAATGTATAAGTATACACAGCAAGTGCACATAGTACACATACGCCTGGATGAATTTTCACAAACTGAACACACCCAGAAATTAGTGTTGAGTATTTTGTGCTATGTAAATGGACTCATATGGTATGTACTCTTGAGATGGTTTCTTCAGCACAACATTTTGTTTGTGAGATTCAGCTATGTTGTTGCATATAGGTTATATTTGAATTTACATTGTTTCTACACAAAATAATTAACAGCATTTCACAGACCTGTCAGTAAATGTAGATTTACACTAAAATGTAGGTCCCACGGGTGCAGGGATTTTTCTGTTTGTGTTTGCTGAACAGTGACCAGACTATCCTCAATAAGTATTTGTTGAATACTTATTGGATTCTCTGGAAATTGAAAAGAAAAGAATAGCACAGTCTCTAAAGATAACCTTCATTTATCCCTTTACTGTGCACTTCTGGATTTAAGGAATTTCCTCTCATACTAATTTATTAGCTTTAAAAGGGCACCAACTTAAGCAGATTTGCCCTTGCTAGTAAGGGGGAGATAATTAGAACTTGGGCTTTAAGTGGCTTTCCCAGTCGTCCTACAGGAGACCAAAATGTAAAGGTAAGTTACAAAAAAATTCACCAATAAAGAGATTTTTTTAATGCAAAGTAGGTGAGTCAATAGGCTATGGGGTACAAAATTGGCCAGAAGAGTTGGCATATGCATCCTAGCAAAAAAGAAAGTCAATTAATAAAGTTTAATTTTGCGGGTAGTGATATTTAGAAAGATAAACGGAAATATGCTATGCACCTATTGATTGATGTGTGTAACTTTCAGCACTAATAAAGCATTTCAGAATCAATAATTAGCTGGGTGTATATATATATATATATTCTTACACTGTGAACTAGCATTAGCTCTATTTGACAGGAGAGGGGGAAATGGTTTTACTGCTCATCTGGATTATCCTTAGCACCCAGCACAGTGCTTTCCACATAGCAATCACTCACTAAATACTTGTTGAAAGGAAACATGAATTCCCAGGGTGTGCACTGGCTCAGTCATACAATTAGGCATAGTTAAGCTGACTGTACGAGTACTTCCTTGTGCTACAACTAACCATTCATCTCCTTTTGAAAACGAGGGGGACTGTTTCTGAATCACAAATAAAGCAGCAGGTCAAAGGGACAGGGACTTCATCAGGCTTCCACAGTCCCCTCTAGTAACTTGTGTAGGCTACGCAGTGGGGTAAGATAGTAGTTTCCACTCAGACAAACCTGGGTTTGAATTTTGGTTCAGTAATTAGCAGCTATGTGCACATGGGCCTGTTTCCTAACTGCAAAAGGCAGATGAAAATTCTTACTCTCAAAGGCTGTGTGAGAAGCAAATAAATGGGAAAGCAACTAAAATGTATCCAGAAGAAAGCAGCCTACAGGCCTCACGCTTTTTTCCTTTCATTCTAACTTGCTGCACAGGAGCCCACTGATCCAGGGCCACACATCACGTCAGGGCATCTGGAAAGTGAGTGACCATCCAGTCCCTCTGTCACTAACCAGCCTGGGCATCACATGTGATCCACTCACTTAACTGTTCTCCTACTTGTGAAATGGAGCTGACATGGATTCAACCTACCTGTGAGTTCCCGGGAGACGGTGAGCTAGAGGAGCAGACGCACTTTGAAAAGGCTACAAAGCATTTCCTCTATGGCTGTAAAGCACGAATGTTACCCCTGCTCCCTGAAAACATCGTTATTTAAGACTCTGTTATATCATCGTTATTCTTGAGAAAAATGTTAAAGATTAAATGCAGGTGATACAGATGGCCAGAATATTGATTTTTAAATTTGGAGATTATTATACTTAAGTTTCTTCCTGCTCCCCACTCTACCCCTGTCCCGCTGCCATCAAAGTTCCTTGAGAAGCAGAATCCATCACTTCTGCCTTATAGTGAGCTGATAATTATGCAAAACACTCGTCATTCCTTTTTCCTGCAGTGATAGGGCAAACCACGCTTTTAACACAAATGGATCACTCATTAAATGGCGATAGAGGATTCAACATACACACCTAAACTAGACCATGAACCCCAGGCTTATCATTTCCCTATTCTTCATCTTAAATTAAGTCAGAGCAAAGAATAGAAATCCTACCTCTAGAAAGCAATGAGTGATTAAATTAAATTACACATTTTATAAGTGGTATTCATCTTCTTTGGACCTGGAATCAGAGTGAAATCAAGTAGGTCAGAAAGAAGTTCAATCCCTCCACCTGAAGGCTCCTACCTGAGCTCGGAAGAAATAAAGCAGTTTCCCACTTAAGAGAGCACTTCGAGAGGTTCACGAAAAGATTTGCATTATCTTTCAATTCTATTTTTCCACCAACTTTTTGAAGTATTTTTGTATTCCGCCCAGAAGATGAGAGTCAGAAAGAATGTTTAACAGGTAAATTCATCACTGAATTATTCTTTCCACACCTGCTTATGTGCAAATATGAAAGAAAGAATTTCTTGGCAGAGTAGACCAATTTTAATCACTCCGTTTCTGCCAGCAACAGCAAGTAAGGGCACTGACACACCATAACGCATTCATAACACACTCAAAGCATGTCTCGAGGCACAGACTGGAGAAACAAAGTCACAAGGGCACAGGATAAGCTTCTGACCTGTGATCTTTCATGGGTGGACCCTTGGCACGTTCCTCCACCTCCTGCTGCTTTGCAAATGGAACTGGGAGGAACTGGTTTGGGTTGGATCCAGCATGTCTAAGGGACATCTCAGTTCTCCTCCCCATCATGTCATCTTTTTGTGAATCAGACAACTTTCTTTGGCCTTTCAGTCCGCTGCCACTCCAGGCAGGAGCTGTCATCTTCTCTGACTTCTCTTCTGTCCCCGAAGCCTCCCATTCAGAGGCCGGAGGACACGCACTAGAGCAACCAGTCAAAAACCACTTATTGCTAAAGATATTTGCAGTAGCATCACTCACTGGCGTTAATTCAAAACAGAAGAAGCCAGCATCCACGGAGGCAGCGGCACACAGAGCAGCGGAGTAGGAACCCCCTTTTTAATACCGTGAGCCTCTATCATGCAGCTGGTACTCACGCAGGGATGGGTTGCCCTTTCCGGTTTTCTTCATTCCTGAGAATGAAATTTGGCCAGTACCCAACCACATGCAAAGGCTAAAATCTCTACCCAGAGCAGACACCAGAAGCAGAGCTCTGATCCTGGGATGGGCACATTCCTTTCAGTGGCTTTACTCCACGCTGCGTCAGTCACCGAGTGCACACTATGACTCTAAGCTGTTCTTTGGGCACACAGCGGCCACAC